GCCCCCAGGTCTGTACAGCTAGAACGACAATTTCCTGTAGGCCCCCCCCCAGCCCCCCCACACACCCCCCCCCTCCCCCCCCCCATGGGCCCCACACAACCCACCCCCCTCCCCGCCCCCCGTGGGCCTCACCCAAGCCCGGCCCCAGCGACTCGCGGGCGAGACTCACCGGGGACGCCCCTGCAGAAGCGGGACTTGGGGTAGGGCTTGTTCTTGCAGTACCGGTAGCTGGGGGGGGACAGGGCGGTGAGACGCGGCCAGACCCCCCCGGCACCCCCCCGCGCCCCATGTCCCCGCCCCCCAAACAGCCCCCCCCGCGCCCCATGTCCCCGCCCCCCAGACAGCCCCCCCCGCGCCCCATGTCCCCGCCCCCCAAACAGCCCCCCCGCTCCCCCCCCTCCACTCACCAGCGCGCGGGGCGGCGGCCCATGGCGGCTCCGGGGCAGGGTCTAGAGAGACGCAGAGACCGGATCAGAGCCCGCCGGGGGGGGCGGGGGGGCCGGGGGGGGGGGGGGGGGGGGGGAGGGGCCGGGGCCGTGGGAGGGGGGAACGTGGGTCCCACCCGCGGGTCCCTCCCGGGGCTCCCGGCCCGGCCGCGCGCTCACCTCGCCGTGCGGCAAAGAGAGGGGAGCCGCGCCTGCGCGCAGCTTTTGTACCCCGGCCCCGACCGCCGCTCTAGCCCCGCTTCCGGCGTAGAGCGGCGGCGCCGGCCAATGGCGGCGGGCGCTCGCCCTCCAGCGCATGCGCCTTCTTCCCCAGCCCGCGGCTCCGCTCTAGCCGTGGCTTCCGGCGTAGAGAGGGAAGCGCATGCGCATCGCGGACACCAGCCCTCCCCGCGCGTGTCGGCGCGCACGCGCATTGCTCCCACGCCGCCGCCATTTTAGAGACCTAGCAGGCGGGCCTACGGTTGCTGAGCATGCGTATTGAGGACGAGGCGTGTCCACCGAGATCCCTCTAGCCCGTCCTATACGCCCCGCCCACCTCCCTGATATGTAAATATCTCCACGCTGATTGGACAGGATGGTGGTGCCACGTGACAGGCGGGCAATGGATACAGTTATCACTAATTTGCATATACCTTTGCATATATATAATTTGCATCTAATTGTATATCGCTTCTAATTTGCATATCGAAGTAATATGCATATTTTGTTGCATTGCTGAGCTGGTTTGCAGAGCGCCCTGGAATTTGCATATTTGCAGCAAGTGTCCCGCCAAACTGTATCACTGCAGCATATTTGCATGTAGTTAATCGGCCTCATTTGCATAGTGGCAACTACACTTTTTAAACTGCTAGTGCCACTGCCTGGCTGCTCCTCATTTGCATGTATAATTAATTCAGCCCAATTAACAGTTGGCCTGTTTGCAACTTATTTGCATATCTGAATATTTGCATATTAGCAACCCCCGCCCCAGGACTACCCGGGGGATCCTCAACCCCC